ATCATCCAAACCAATCGAGCTCGGTAGGTCTAAATGTTGCGATTTGCCGATGCCTAGGGAGAACCCTAGGCATCGGTTCCTTAGAAAAGGAACTTCCAAATATCGGCAGAAGAAGAAAAAGATATTCGGTCGAAGATAAAGCGGCGTTTAGCATTACGCACCATCTGATTACATTTGTTCCTTGCAGTTTTGAAGGCAGCCCAATTTTTCTCAGTGCGATCTGTGCCTCATGTGTCTGTGATCAGTGCCTCTTGTGTCTACGAAACGCTCGGTCCCTGCGTCGCATCGCCGTCTGTATCACTCCAGTCATCCAAGGCGCTGGTGGACGCTTTAATTTAACCCTTTGATGGGAGCATGACGGTCAAACAGACTATTCAAGGTGTTATTGAATATGTGGACCATGTTATTGATACTATTGGCCTCCATCAACAGCCTCCAATCAATTGCCGCCGCATCTTTACGAAGACTCTCAGCATCCATTCTCGCAAAACAACACCTGTACATAACTCTAAAAATAAGTATTAATATGTATAATACTTTTTCAGGGCTTCTGGGTCTGACGTGTGTCATTTTTTTGTAAACACACTTAAAACAGAAAATGTAATGTTTTTATAATAACTATCGTGAGATAGGCACAATTTAGAAGATAGATAATCCTAATACAGTAAGTATCCGTGAAGTTACAGGTGCACTCTGTATGTCCGGCGCACGCGCACTTGAAGCCCTGCTGAATTTCGGTCTATAGTAATTTTACTCTATAATCAATTTTCTTTTTATTTCAATTACAAGTCCAAGTTAGTAAGTAGTCCACAAATGGACAGATACTTATAAATGGGTACCTACCTATTTGTTTCATGCAATAATAAGATTTTGTATTATCAAGTAATTCTCTATTTAACGATTGCCATGCGTTAGTGTGGTGTTTGGCAACAATACTTACTTTACAAACTGATAATATATTTACTGCATAGTGCATACATGTGCTTAGTGTACGCACAAAAATAGTCTAACACAAAGTACCTACATATAGCAATAGTGGAGCTGTGACCGCTCACTTTTATAAACGTTCCAGACAAATGATTGCATTTTTCTAGCTCATTGTAGCAGCGAGCCGCCATCGCTCCCATTGGACGCGACCTGCTCGCCCACTTTATCAACATAAGCTTCCACAAGTTTATAATACCTTCGCTAGCTAATGCCACCGCCATTCTTACGGGGTAGATGACTTACTGGTGGCTATCAAAGACTAGATATTAGATATTATGTACATAATTAAAACATTTGTGTGTGCACACCTTAATAACACGAGCCCCCACGTTATCAGCGCGCAATGTGAGCGTCGCGAGGTGATTCCCTCTTTATCGTTTGCTTAACTCTGCAAGAAACAATACATCTTAGCTCGTGCCGATAAACTGAAGCTGGCGGCCGCCGGCCGGTACCTCCCTCGTCCCATACTTAGATAGTACTTGATACTTAGATAAAGAGGTTAAGCACTTACAACATAGATAGGTTCATTTCGGTAAATAGCAATTAGAAAAACCAGCAGATACCACACCACGTGTCAATCATTACCAAAGTTATCAGTTGAGCTAATGAATTAAGAAACAGATCACGTCTGCATTCTGCATCATCGCGGGGGGATTCACACTTTCGGCAGTTTGACAGTGTTTTCCCTATAGCTTATTGTAATTGTCCTAAGTAAGTGATTCTTTGTATTGATGTGTGACAAAAAATATTCAGACGATTGTTGCTACGGTCCTAAAAAGGAAAACTATAATGTAGTTTAAGATGAACAATATCGTAACAGGAAAATAGTCGGTTATCTACCTGTATGATCTAGGTACATCACCTTGGCTCAACATAGCCTACAATTTACACATGATAAAGAAAATTGTCTAGGAACATGTGAGCAACTAGCGAACTACAATAATTTGTACGGTACAATCGGGACCTACACATACAAACACAGAAATATTACAAATAAAATATGTAGATACACAGATTTACTAAAGAAAAACTACACAATTTGTATGTGTCTTGTCTGTCCTTCTGATAGGCCAAAAATCACATACAATAGATAAACAGCATCTGCGCTGTGCAGTTGATAGTGAGGGCTTACTACGACTTTATTTTTCGTTTAACAAAATCGGAACGTTACGACGTTCGGCGCTCATTTAGCTGTTCAAAAGAACCAACCAGACGGCTAAGCGCGGTGACATTTCGATCTCAAAACCAAGTGATACTAGGCCCTCTGGAATATGTAGGTATACGAATCATACGGTTCCTGTATTCCCGAACGTGTCGAGTTTGTTCGGTGATCCGGTGCGCGACCGCTGCGTGCTCGATCCGAGGCCGCGGCCCTCTCCACTCGGCGCTCGGCGAGAGTCCGGGGGATCACAGCCTATCGCCGCATCGAGAGCCTCTTGTATCCGCTGATAATATTACAACACTTGACGACATACAATACTAATTGGAAGAAAGGAGATCATATTTTAATAAGTAGGTATACTTAGGATGTAAACGATGTTGTATTGGTAAAGATTATTATGAATATTAAAATTAAATTAATGTAATTGATTTAACTTCTATTACTTGTACAGCAAGTGAAGTTACAGTTGGTCAATATGTTGCAAGATTTTCTACTTACCATAGTACTAGCAGAGGTACTTACTAGAGGTACCTACTAACTTACCATCTGTATTTTCTTATCACGAACGAAGACGAAGTAAACAATAAACTTCATTACTGGCAGGATGGCCATTCTGTATACGTTGGTACAGACATGGTACCTATTTAATTAATTAGTTTACCTACCTGTTATAATAGGTACACCACATATAAGGTAGTTGTAGTTTAGCTTCTTCATCAACTAATATCGTATTTGTAGTTCCTGACTATTCCCATGGGACAGAGGTCATTTATTGATATAAGTAAATTCATATCTATTAGGTATATATTTTTATTACAGCTTGAACAATAACAACTATTTATAAGTAGGTACTCAAGAATTTATTAAAATTATCAAACATAGTTATAGTGGTGTTTATTATATTCGTGACTCATGAACATTGTTATTGTCCCTATCGACCAGGAGAAAATAAAAACTATTTACTGACCTAGGCATTACCTACATAATTTTGATGATTGTACTAAAGTAATGTACCCATATTTTTTTAGTTTTAGTGCCTACTTTCGCCTGTATTTCAATTATTCTTGAATCTAAACTAGTCGGGATCGTTCAATAAACGAATTGTTGACCTACTCGGAAGTAGGTGAGCCAATAACTGAACCTATTGGCACGAGTGCGGAATACCTACATAAAAACAACACGAATACAGGCCCTGGCCAACATTGCACTGTTTGTGTCCAAGTCCCTGCTAGCGCCCTCTACACAATCTCGAATTAAACGTCTTCGCCGGATTACTATCTGCCCTGTGCCTTTAGCCAAACGCCACTTCTGTTTAGTTGACCTATAGAATATAAATAGTTTTATTTTCAAAAGAAAGATGGCGTTGCTTCGTTTACTTGTTATATCATCATGCTAGACATAAAATCTACATACGAGCTGCCTCCCTATACATTTGCTAAATGTTTTTAATCAGGCACATTCCTATATTGCACGGCACATCAGCTCAATCATCTCTGGTTTGTTATCGCACTATGGTTGCAGTAAGGTCATTCGCTTTACTTTGTAATGCGTCACTTGACTAATGCAAGAACAAGGTGTATTGTAATAACTATCAATTTATTGCACAATAATTATTTGTGTCATGTTTAATTTAAAATCGAATGTGCTTCTTAATACTTCACAAATTAATATTTTAGATCGAATCGTTTAATCAATTTAGTAAAAACATGTAGTAATTGATAGCCTTAAAACCTCGAAGCTTTGTGAATAAGCAACAGTAATGCAGACCGATGTCGCGGAGAACCTAACGGGTTACCGGGGCTCCGGCTTGACGTGCAGAAGGAACGGGGTGGTTTTTAGTCAGTAAGAGTCTAATGCCGGAATACTGTACTGAAACGTTACTCAATTTTAAGTCGTGCTTAAATATCGTTCCATCTCTGTCTATTTACAAAGAATTAGTGGAGACAGAACTATACCTAAGCGCGACTTAAAATTGAGTAGCGTTTCAGTATTCCGACATAACACTCCCTCCCGCAACACCCAGGCGGGAGCAGTCATTCGATGATTTTCCCCCCTTAAAAAAATGCAGACCGATCGAGAATAAGAAACTACATGCTGTAGGTCAGCATGTAGTTTTATCTGGTGTTACGACTAATGATTACATTCGTGTAGCAGACTATTGCCCTATGGGAAATCGGGCCATTCAACTATAATTTAAAGTAATACACCTTTTCTGAACAATCAATAAATTAAAACCAAGAAATGCTTTGCTATACATTTTATTCGATTTTCAACAACGCAATAACAATCACTTAACTAATGTATCAACGAAATCACATTATTTGCATTAAACGCTTTATTCCAGTTCGGAATGTCTCCAATAATTGTATTGCACCAGTAGACCAGAATGTTATACATTTCAGTAACAGTTAGTAAAGGCAAGTTTCATTTTAAAAATAAAACAAATAATGTTACAATAATAATTAATATAAATACACAATAAAAATATTCACTTAAAGTTAAACGAGTACAACACAATAAAGTTATGTTATACTCTGATTATTGTTTTATTTGATTAAACACAAATTAATAACAAAAATGAGTACTGTGGTACAAAAATAATTAAAATAAAAAGGTGTTGCGCTTAAAATAATATAAATACAATCGCATTAATAAAATAATACCTGCGTAAAAATACAAAATTAAGTAAATACAATAGTATGTCTGGTACAGAAGGTGACCAGACTGAGACAGGTTGATGCGAGTACCGACTAGTGCAATATGGCACTATATGACCACTGACATATTCAATGACAATCCTTGTCTATCCTTTTCCCAAGAAAACGTTTCTATATCGTGTAGTATTGATTATAAAAACGTAGAAAAAAATATGATGTCAGCGTAATCTCAGGGTGAGCTTGTAAATACAATTAAATCGCAAACTGCATGCATTATTGTCGACTACGAGGCGACGTACAGATAACTTACATAATTCATACAAATGTTAATATTGACCTATAGAGAAGGAACTAGTCCTATATTTGCACAGACTGACAGATATTGCATGTTTGAAGCTGCAAAAATTTAATAGATTTTTCAGTGATTAAAATGACCATCTTATAATTTAATTCAATAAGACAATAGCTGCACTGTTGTAGAAAAAAAGTCAAGCGGTTATTTTTGTTTAGTGTTCTTTAATATGCAGTTTTGAGCAAGTGAGGTGTACGTGTACCGACGACGACTATACATAATATAGTGAGGTCTATACATGTCACGAGTAATATATTAGTAGAGGTCCAGTTCGCAGCTACAAGCAGTAGTTCAGTCGTGGCTGGTGTGTGAGTTTACGAGTATTCCTTAGTGAACTTCTGGTGGAAGTCCTTGAAGATGTCCAGCATTTCCTGCAACTGCTTGGGTTGTGGCAGTATGGTGGTGCGGAAGTGGAACGTACCGGGACGTTGGCCGAAACCAGAACCAGGGACCACGCAGATACCTGACACATACGAACATCATTATTGAAGTTTGTTTGTTGGAGCAACGGGTCGAATTCAATAATTGTTTCTGTATTAGAAAGTGCATTTATTGAGGAAGGTTATAGGCTGTAAAATATCACATGACTTATACTTAACTGACCAGTTTCCTCGAGCAGTTTGAACGCGTAGAAGACGTCAGGCAGCTTGTTGTCAGCGCGCGCCGCGGCGATGGCCCGCGGGGGCAGCTCGATGCGGGGGAACGCGTACATCGCGCCCTGGAACCGGACACTGGCGGTTACTACTGGCCCGACACGGTCGCGGGGTACATCAGAAAATTGAAAGATTATAATTATATTTGTTCCTAACCTGACCCGATGTATCGTTCCTATTCCTAGCGAAATGGAATGTGATATGGTAGTTTCCCTCACATTTGTAACATAACCTAACCTATACGAGTCAGAGTCGTATTTACAAAACTTCTTTATTTATAAATACTTCTAATAATTAATTATTATTATAATTAGTTACTTACACTTAGAAATTAAAATGTATTGTTTATTTTATATTATTTTCCTGAAGGATTGACAATATTTTATAGATTTATGTCAAATTTTAATTATAAGATATCTTCATTATTTCATACGAAATTGATAACCTGAAATTATATCATAAATTGACTACGTCAACTGTTACACACACATCACAATACGGGTAACATTAGGAACAAATAATATATTTTAGGTACTTCAATTCCCTAATCTAAATAATCTGTCTGTAAGGCGTGTCCAACTTTATAATATGTAGTTTATAGTACCAGTTGTAGTGGTGAGTACGGACCTGCACTACGTTACAAGAGAAGCCCTCCATGCTGTTGAATGTGTCGACGATCATCTTGGCTCGTTGTTTCAGAGACTCCAGTACTGCCGTCTTCTCCTTGTTCCAGAGCTCGTATGAAGGCTCGCCTGGCATCGGGGTCCGCGCCTGGACATAACACCTTTATTCAATTGGTTGCCTTTGGGACTTAATAGACGGTCTAATTAGTAGAAATCATGATATGAGGGTATGAAAGTTTAGTTTTTTGCATCAGCACTCAAACTTAAAAAATGTTCTAAAGAAGAAGTTCTGTTTATGGTTATTTTAATTTTGAATTTGGAGCGCTTCACGCTGTTGGTTATGAATTGTCGAATATTTAGTAGGTGGTTTGTTTAGAAGTCGGGATTATTAGAATGTTGTAATATGGAATTGGCTAAAAAGTAATATTTAACTGAGGTATGTTTTGTGGAAAATAAAGTTGGAATGTCGTTTTAGAAACGTTTGAGTGAATGAATAAGTGGCGCGCGGGGCGCAGTACTGACGACGCAGTCGACGGCGGTCTGTCCGAGCGTGGTGGGGCACAGCATGGCGGAGATGGCCTTGTACAGGTGCGCCTGCACGCCGGCCTGCAGCCCGCACAGCTCCATCCAGCCGCCGCGCAGCCCGCACTCGCCCACGTACCCCTTGCTGATCGACATGAACGACGCCAGCTCGATGGAGTCGTACGGCGCGCCCAACTCCGTCATCACCTGCACATTCACACATTATCCCACTAGATGCATACCATCCGGCATTACACATTGAGGTTGAGGTCTCTTTGGGTCGTAACTCGGAATCAATTGAGCCCAGTAATGTAGACAGTCTCAGAGATTGGAACTTCAGAAAATGTGATTTCGAGCATTTGTATTCATTGTTCTCTAAACAAAATATTTGGGATAAGTTGTTAGCAACTAAGAATGTTAAAGAAGCTACTTTCGAGTTTTATGGCATTGTTTATGATCTTTTTGATATTTGCGTGCCTAAAAAACGCAGAGAGAAGTCAACAAATAGGCGTTATCCCATATGGTTTACAAGAGATATAATACGGGATCTAAAGGCCAAGTTGAAACTCCATAATAATTGGAAACTAACCAGGTCTCCAACATCATATTCAGAATTCTCTAATCTCAGATCAAGGCTAAAAAATAGAATTGCAGAGGCGTATTCCATATATATGACAAATCTAGAGAACAAGATTAAACACAATCCTCGTCAGTTTTGGTCACATATTTCTTGTCTGCGTTCTAGAGGTGGATTTGAACCGAATATTGCATACAAGGGTCAAACTTTTTCAGGTGCTAGAGCGGCTGAAGCCTTCGCTGAGTTCTTTTCAACTGTTTTCCTACCTGAAGCTCCGCGGCTCAATGCCGATTTGGCCATTATATCAGATTATTCTAATAACAGTAATTATATAAATATAGCCCCTCTGCGCCGTGCAGATATTATTAAGGGAATAAATAGACTTAAACTTCATAGTTCTGTTGGTCCTGCCAACATCCCCCCCAAGATAGTCAAAGACCTAAGAAGTATTTTTATTGATCCTCTGCTTCATATTTTTAATTTAGCTTTACAGACCGGTATATATCCCACCGAATGGAAAATTTCCAGGGTTACACCTATTCCAAAAACCCAAAACAGGGGCTCTGTTGAGGATTATCGCCCTATCGCAATCCTGTCTACCCCAGCAAAAGTCTTTGAGAACGTCCTTCATAATATTGTTTATGAACAAGTAAACAAGTATCTCTGTAACGAGCAGCACGGTTTTAGGAGCAAGAGGTCAGTCGATACAAATCTCCTAACTTTAGTGGACTACATCTCATTTAGTTTGGATAGGGGACGTCAGGTAGATGTACTTTACTTTGACTTCCGGAAGGCCTTTGATAGGGTAAATAATGACATACTGCTAGAGAAGCTTAACAAAATAGGGTTTTCCCCATCTCTCCTACATTTCTTTGCAGACTATCTACGCGATCGACAACAGTTTGTCAAACTTGGTATGAACGTTTCGGGAGCCTATCATACGCGTTCTGGTGTAAGTCAGGGCTCAATTTTGGGGCCTTTGCTGTTTCTTATCATGGTCAATGATCTTCCTCAAATTCTACTTCATGCAAAATGCCTCTTATACACAGATGATCTGAAACTATACTTGGAAATAAACTCTGAGCGTGACAGCTTGGCACTTCAGCAAGATATTGATGCAGTATACAAGTGGAGCGTGGATAATAAGATGGAATTTAACTCATCCAAGTGCTATGCTATGACGTTTTGTCGAAAGCGGAACCCAATTAACTTCGATTACAGATTAAATAATTGCAGTATTACAAAGTCGACAATCATGAAAGACCTGGGAGTCACATTTGACCAAAAACTAACTTTCCCTGACCACATAACCACTACAGCAAAGCAATCCTTCCAAAGGTTAGGTTTTGTTTTACGTAATTGTCGTGATTTTCGCACTGCTCATGCCATTAAGATCATATTTAATGCTCTGGTTCGTAGTAAGTTGGAAACCAGCTCGTGTGTGTGGAATCCTCACGAAAGTACCTACTCCCTACTCTTAGAGAAAGAAAACCCTCCGTGGCGTTATTGACGCTCCGGACATACTGGAGTCACTATCACGTTTTTACGTTCCAGACAATTACTGCCGGGGTAAAAAGCACAGATTGTTTGCCGTGCCCTCATGTCGTACCGTAGCACGTGCTAAAGCACCGATTCCTCGCAGTCTGGCCGCGCTCAATGGTCTCTTGGATTCCAATCCAACTAGTGATCTGTTTGCGGACGGATGGAAGGAAATTTTATCGGAATGCCTGAAGTACTGCGAGAGGAACTTATGAATGCTACCATTTTTTAAATAAGTTTTACTCTTCTGGTTCGTGTATGTTTTGTTCTAGTTTTATTATTTCACCGTTATTTTATTAATGTGTCCAGTTACTTTAATTGTGTTTTGTTATCAACCGTTGTGACTGTTATAAATAAATTATAATAAATGTTATTATTATTGCTAATCCAATATCTATCAAGTAATAACTATTTCCAACGACGTACTAAATAATCTTATATTCTCTGACCTTTGCATAGCTCATGCGTTGAAAACAGTCATTTCAAATATTAAATTATAATTTCAACTGATCAAATAAGCAAACCAACAACAAAAGAGTCATGAAAACATAATAAGTGTGACGACATAATTATACAGATGTCGCGACTGGGCCATTAATACTTCTATAAACTAATGTTGATAACCGTAGCAGTAACTATACTTTAGACTCCGTCACTCATTTACACATAGGTGGCTCGATACTACATTTTTTTATTATTGGATGCGCATTATAATATTTGTATGAAAAACAGCACAAGTAGCCATATATGACGTCTTACAATGGAACCATTCTGACTTTAGGACGACATAATAACCCCGCAGGACAAACATTAAGTTTCTATGACCCTTGAAGTCGTACTCGTACGTAGTAAATATACACTCAGATAGTTCTGGACAGACTGTTCTAATTTTATAATGTGTGTAAAGAGTGCGACTAACCTTCTTGAAGGAGAAGAATTTGCTGTCCTTGTCGTACACGTTGTCCTGGTAAACCTCGTCCGCGAACACGAACAGACCGTGCTTCTGGGCGAACTTTATTATATCCTCGATATTATTGCGGGTCAGCACCTGATGTATTCAGAACCTTTAATGTTTTGCTGAACACATATTTAATATCTGTGTGTAAAGGTGATTACAATAGATATTTTCTTCGTTCATCGTGAAATATTGTTTGATAAAAAACCTAACAGTATGGAATTAATGATAAGATACCTTTTTATAGAGAAGTTCGGATCAGAAAGTCATACCTAAGTGGGTCAAACCCCAAACACTACAAGTGCGAGTATATGGTACAGTACGTACCTGCCCTGTGGGGTTGCCGGGGTTGATGACGACGATGGCGCGCACGGCGTGGGTTTTGCTTCCCTCGAGGAAGGCGCGCTCGAGTTCGTTGATGTCGAGCGCCCAGTTGTGGTCCTCGTCGAGGTAGTACCCGACCTGGCCCAGTCCGTACTCCGCCAGCGACGCCGAGTACAGCGGGTACTGGGGGATCGGGATCAACACCGCTGTAACATTCGATGCATTTCATTTCTTTAGTGACAGTAATATTTGTACTACTAAACTCGTTTGTTTAGCATATTGATTCGAGTGGAATTGTCTGTTTTTCTCTATATTTATAGAAAGAACTAGGTACTTCTCATGTTCATTATCATAAACGTTTATCAACAATACAAAAATGCTTTTATCCAACGTTGTCTAACTTGTGTGTTTTAATAATTGAACCAGAGTGCCATTAGAGTCATTTAGACATCATCCCAATTAGTGGAAATTTTCGCAATCATCAAAATGTTTCGTTATCAATGTTAGAATAATAGTGAGTGTAGATAGAGCGCGGTAATCTGAATGTTTACGACATGACATTATAATGCCGTGTGATTATATAATCGTATGCAGGATAGCACCGCGCGCACAAGGTCGTCCTCCACCTCGCTGCTACAGTACTACACACGTCATGTCTTGGACTCTGTGACGCTCACTCGACATGTCATATTCATATGTCGTAGGAAACACATTCCAAAAGGAAAGCCTTCGCAAAGCCGAGGCTTTCAACAGATTTCTATTAACAGTCAAACACCTATCAAAGGTCAAAGGTGACATCTGCATAATATTGGCTGTTGCATTAATTTATTACTGAAACCTCATACTTGGTACATACACAACAAATAATTAACTGAAATAGAGGTTCAAAATTTATTTTATCTTACTACACCCTTTTGAAATGGAAAGAGAAGCAGATAAATTGAAGCAATGTATGCTAGCTTGCAACTTGCAAGGTTTGCAGTGTAAGGAGGTAACTCATCACATGCTCCGATAGAAAGAGATGGCCAGCTTTGTCAGTCGCATCCCATTGCCTTCTAACAAAGGTAATCGATATGAATTACTTTAACCTTGAACGAGTGTTATTTGCGAACCATTCCGGTACAGAACACACGTTATGTCTAATGTTAATATTAATGGCACGGAACGAGAGGCAATGGTAACTACGTCACTACAGTAGTTCGACAACGTAATAAACTCTAACGTGCATGGCTGGTATGTAATCAGTCAGTGGGACCCATCTACTGCTACACTATGGGGCTCCTCTACAACAAAATAATATGTAGGTATGGGTTTGCTTGACAGGCGAGTTGGAGATCTCCCTATTAATTACCTATTAACTATGTACCTACATGAGACACCTGCAATGACAACCCTAACTGGTGTAAACAGGATGCGAGTTCTGCGTGCACCTTCTCCATTATGTACCCGGTCATCCGTATTCCTTCATATTTCGGATATCATTAATGGTATAATGTTCAGTATTATGTACCCGGTCAGGTACACGCGATACCTACTCGAAACACGTTTCGTTCAATCTCAGCGAGTTGACCTTGCCTTTGTCCTCTTGTTGTCATTTCGCGCGCTCGGAAACATTTCTCATTACTTGCACATACATACTACGTCGCGTCGTGTGGTCTTCATATTTACACTAGCCTAGTCTAATGTATGTATGTATTCAATTTTACAACATACTTATTTCTTCTACAAACGTCATGTTCGAATGCCTGGTAGAAAAATTTGGTTATCCGAGTTTGTTTACGATACTATACTGGCCTTAGGCAGGGATAGGAGTGGGAGGTTAACGTGCACTTGTTTCTTGCGGTTTTCAATTATGTAAATGAACGTATATTCATGGTGCCACGTAGTCATTGTAAACTATACTTTACATAGAAGTACGTACACAATAAAGACAGTATAAACAGAATCATTAGTGATAGAAGTGTACCTCTATATAGTTGCTATCGCCAGTTAACGCTCGCTATCGATGCGCTGATGGCGACCAATAACCGGCAGCTAATTAAGATTACAAGATTACATCAGTGCAAAGTTAATGAACTCATATCAACACAGATCGGCAGATAAATCACAATCTACTGAAACGTGCGCACAGACGCAACTCTCTTTCATAAGTTACTTATCGACTGAACTTATGTAACTTCATTGAAATGTGAGAGAAGACTGAATGTTTGAGAACCTGTGACACCTTCGCACTGTAGATATTTTATTAAACGTTGCCCCACACACTAGCAGGTGAAGTATAATTACTTCGCCATGCTACAATACTTACAAACACAATGTGATAATTAAACCGACACAGCCACGCTGTTCCGTTGTCAGTGTGCAACTAGCGCACGTTAAGTAATTAAATACCTACCTACACACAACGCACAAGTGTTACCGCAAGAATAGAAAGTTGCATAATTACTAACACAACACAGGTAGGTACTAGTGTAAGTGCAGACAGACCGCTACGTAACCTTGCTGTATATTTACCGACCTTGCTATACATTACCGGCTTGGTGTTACAGACTAGGAGTGTGATCGGTAGTTCGGTACTGACCCGTGTCCTTGCCGTCGACTTTGTTGCAGAGTAGCTGCAGACAGTTCTTGATGCCGTTGGAAGCTCCGCCGGTGAGGCAGATGTCCTGCCAGTTGGCCTTGTGTCCATCCCGGCGCTCGATGTACTCCGCCACGTGGCGCCGGATCAGCTCGATACCGTGCGACATTGTGTACGAGCCCACTGACTGGCCACTGTAACAGTGCAGTACAAACGTTATCCATGTGCTGCCTAATTGGTATCGTAGGTAAGCAAATACATAAGTAGTTGGTAGAAAATACTGACCCGCAAGCAGCCAGTATCGATTTGGCCCTCTCTTTCACGTCGGACGGGTATTGGCCGGACTCCAGCAGGTCTGGATCCGACACGCAAGCGAGGACCTGTGCACGGAGATGTTTGAATGAACGATGGATATACCTAGGTACCTATTGCTGAATACATATGTATATCCTAACGGTGGCAGCACATTATAGTCATGTATGTAGACAAGTGTTGAATCTGTTCTAGGTTCTACATAACTGTAGCTACTGGCTAGGGAAACCTCTGTCACGTGCTGGACTGAATGGAATATTTCTAACGTAATAGCATATTGTGCCAACAAGTCATTCAGGCTTCGATAATTATCTCAAACGCGAGTTTGTTATCAATGAACTAAAAACAGTTCATTAGGTACTTATATTTGCTTATTTTGTATTTGTTTACTATTTTATGCACTACCTACTTAATCATTAGCAGTCGCTACTACGCACTACGCATCCGACATGGTAGTTACCTATTCCTTATCAGCAGAGTGCAAATCCAAGCCTGTTGATGTAACATAAGTCTCCCATTTAACTATAACCTGCCTTCTTTGAAACGAGTTCATTGAATTGCACAGAAATAAACATAAAACTGTTGTAGTCTGGCCTGTAATCAGCTGTTTGGGTATTGACTATTGACACCGGGTCATCTACGTCCTCGATGAACTGATATAAGTAAGCATTGATGTCAGTGCTGGATTTATAAATAGGCCGTATATATCCCGGCCTAGGGGCGGCAGAGTTCTAGGGGGGGGGCAGATTTTAGAGGACGGGCACTCAATTTCAGACTATAAAAGTAAAACACGTTCACTGATTTTATCTTGTTTTTTTATATTTTAAATAAATCCCTATATAAATTAATTCCTATCGAAACCTAGTGAGTGACAGATGAGAACAGCAATCATCGATTTTGAGAAATCAATCTCTGATCTCTGTCCAATGTTTATCCCAACTTGGATATAGCTATACACATTGCTCTTTCCACTCGGGCTACAAATTGTTCTGGGGAAAGGTGTTTTTTCTTTATAGAACGCGTGAAAAAATATCATAGGACAACTGATAAAAAAACTTAAATAAAACCAGTAGTTTTTTAACCGACTACCTAAAAAGGAGTAAGTTATTAATTTGACTGTATATTTTTGTTTTGTTTTTTTTTTGCGTTTGTGGACGGATTTTGATAATTTTTTTTGGAACTTCTCAAAATTTTATGGTCGGCGAGATCGTTTGTTAATTTTTTTTTTAGTAATTAAAAATACACAATTTGATGAAGGTGTGGAGTTGATCTGATGATGGAGTCATAAGAAGTCGAGGGAACTCCTCGAGGATTTGTAGCAATGACCGCGTGTTTGGGCTTAAATTATTTGTACTAAAAAATCTTTACATCTAGATGGGATATGATTGTCAATCATTAGAGGCCTGATGATTAAGTAGTATGATAGCTAAGGGAATTCCTCAAGGGTTAACAGTAACTAACTGGTGTTTGGGCTTAATTATTTTGTATTGCTGAGAACTTTACACCTAAATGGAGTGTAATTGTCATTTGCGGCCTGATGATGGAGGAGTATGATAGCTAAGGGAACTCCTCAACCGGGTGACAGTAACTACCTGGTGTTTGGGCTTTAATAATTGGTTTTGATGAGAACTTTACACCTAAATGGAGTGTAATTGTCATTAGGGGCCTAATGATGAAGTAGTATGATAGCTAAGGGATCTCCTAAACGATTGTTGAACGAAATGTGATTATTATTGTTCTATTGACATTGTAATTTATTCATTGAAGCCTAAAATTTTTGTATTTGACATTTTTAACTTAATAACTCTGGATTAGCGCATATTTAGTGATGTCTCTGTGATAGCTAAGGTGAAAACCGGCAGCGATCACCGTATTGTCAGAGGCACACTGAATATCAATGTCAAGCTGGAGAGGTCACGCCTGGTGGGGTCCACACTCCGTCCTGGTCGCGCCCAGGTCCAGAACCCCGAACAGTTCCAGC